TTGATAAATAGAAGAAGTCAGTAAGTGACAAAGTAAGAAGAAACATGGCAGACAAGCAGACGAAATTGACGATCATTACACATCATGGACCAATAAATTAATAAGTAAAAATTTCCTTTATGTACATTAGGTGAACTTGGAAATTATTTTACGCTTCATTTGATATGAGCTCCTTAACGGTCGAGGCTAAATCTGTACTGATATTGTATGTTAATATTGTTAGTGCATTTTTATGGTTTCATGTTAAACACTTCACTGCTTCGTAAGTCTAGCTTAGAAGTCAAAATCACGAGTGCTGACGTATTCATTAGTGGGTACATTGGCCACGCTTGAATAGTACGGAGTCTAGATTGAACGAACATTAAACAGGACATGGCATGAACTTTGAGGCACACTTTAAGGTATGATCCTAAAACATATCCAATAACTTCCAGAATAATATATGTTTAACCTAACGTAACCTAATAACACTTTCCCCGGGAATTGAACCGAACACATTGACCGCAACTCGGCTACCGCAATGTTACGCTGCGTCGCGCCCCGTGAGAAACCAATACCAATATAATATTTAACGTATGATTCTTGCCTAATGGAGTATTGTTTGAGTTCCTTTCCTACATCATAGAATTACAAGACAATCCTATGACCATAATAATAAAGGTTATTTTTGCATAAAATGTCAATCAGGTTACTCAATAAACTTATTTATATGTGATATTTTCTCAGTAGTTGTGCGGTATCGGTTGGTTGTACAATCAAGATTACTTCAGTGTGAGCTGTGAGATGAAGGTGTTGAGTGGGAGCGATCTGTCGGTTAATTGTTTTATGTAAATGTGATGTTATCTTACAGATTACATTGTATGTATCTGATTTATGGCCTTTGAACTTTGTTAGATGTTGCTACAGACTGACAGGGTTTTGTTGACAACAATTCGACTCAATTTTATGTGAATATATCGATTGTCTTGGCTGATACCACTTATTATTCAATGTAATTTGGACCAGTACAGTAAGGTTGTATTCTAGTAGTAGTAGTAACTAACAAAAAGGCACGTTTTAATGATTGTAAGGAACTATATTAATATACATAACTTGAATTGTTTTATTTAACGTCTCAATCAGATAAAATTGTAGATACAAGTAAGTGCGTACTGCGTAGCGAGTGCCCACCTCTCATCGTCCGGCGAATTCCATCACCTCACAACTCAACAAGTTCGCACGCGCTCCAGCACCTCTCTAATTAATTACTACATGCAAATAACTAAATCAGAGCGTCCAGAACTTTCCCTATTGACGAACAAATATTCGGTGATAATTCCCACAGATTGCGGTACATTGAACGCTGGCTACAGAAAGTATGTTGCCAAGCCACGCCCCGCCGAACAATGGATGGCGTAATGATCGTAACACTCAGATCTGATCCGCTTGCTTTTCCGTTTAGTGTGGAAACACAGGAAACGTCAGTGCGCAGGCGCGTTAGCTAGTTAATTCAAATAGATCCTATCTGCGTGTGAGTGTTTACTGCCTGCAATTGCTTCACCCTTTACTGAATTAATTTACTTAATTTGGAATTAGTGTTTCTCTGAACAGGTTTTACACACCTCCGAAGCCATACACACCTCCGAAGCACACTTCACCGTTGTCATGGGGGATTTCAACGCGAAGGTGGGCACACGGAACGGCGAAGAGCTGAGAATGGGGCCATTTGGATATGGGCAGCGAAACCGTCGGGGCCAGCGGCTGGTCGACTTTATGGAGAGGGAGAGACTCTTTTTAATGAACTCCTTCTTCCGAAAGCGACCAGCTAAGAGGTGGACGTGGATAAGTCCCGATGGTTACACCAAAAATGAGATCGACTTCATCATGGCGACCGACAAGCGCATATTCAGTGATGTCTCTGTGATAGCTAAGGTGAAAACCGGCAGCGATCACCGTATTGTCAGAGGCACACTGAATATCAATGTCAAGCTGGAGAGGTCCACGCCTGGTGAGGTCCACACTCCGTCCTGGTCGCGCCCAGGTCCAGAACCCCGAACAGTTCCAGCTCCAACTGCATAATCGCTTCCAGTGCCTGGCTGAGTGTGAAACGATTGACGAGTTAAATAATGGGTTAGTGGAAACTGTCCAAACGGTGGCTCAGAGTTTTTCAAAAACCCACGCCGAAATAGACCTCAAAAGCTCTCGAAAGAAACACTTAAATTATTGAAACCGACACGAGATGAGGCTGCAGTCTTCAGTTGACATGTCTGGATATGGCAAACTTAATAGGCGAATTTCAAAGTCTGTGCGACGCGACCTGCGTGCATATAACGCCGCACGAGTCAGGGATGCCATAGAGCGAAATCAGGGCGCAAAAGTATTCGCAAGGAATTCGTGTGGGCAAAGCCAAATGACGAAACTGAAGACCGAAAATGGCAGCATCGTTTCGTCGAAGCCAGAGATTCTGAGAGAGCTTGAAAGGTTTCTACGGACAGTTATACACCTCGACAACGGCAACCCATTGTCGGTACAGCTCGGGATCCTAGAGCTAAACTGACACGGCACTATACCGAGGATATCCCAGACATCAGCCTGTATGAGATTAGGATGGCTCTCAGACAGCTCAAAAATAACAAGGCACCGGGTGATGACGGAATCACAACAGAACTTCTGCGAGCGGGTGAAAACCGATACTTTTAGTCCTCCAGAAAATTCAATTCCGTCATTCTCGAAGGAACTACGCCGAAAGCAAAGGAGTGTAGTGGTTCTGTTCTTCAAGAAGGGTGACAACTCTTTGTTGAAGAACTATAGACCCATCTCGCTTCTGAGCCATGTATATAAGCTGTTTTCTAGGGTTATCACGAACCGTCTGGAACGCAGGTTTGATGACTTCCAGCCTCCCGAACAAGCCGGGTTCCGGAAAGGCTTAGCACCATAGACCACATTCATACGCTGCGGCAAGTTATACAGAAGACTGAGGAGTATAACTTGCCACTATGCTTGGCGTTTGTGGACTATGAAAAGCCTTGATTCGATCGAGACCTGGGCGGTGCTGCAGTCTCTCAGCGATGCCATATCGACTACAGATATATCGAGGTGCTAAAGTGTTTGTATAGAAACGCCACCATGCGCATCCGACTCCAGGAGATAGCACGGAACCAATCCAATTGCAGAAAGGCGTGAGACAGGGAGACGTGATTTCTCCCGAAACTGTTCACCAACGCATTGGAGGACGTTTTCAAGCTTTTAAACTGGAGTGGACTGGGCATCAATATCAATGGCGAATACATCACACACCTCCGCTTCGCCGATGATGTAGTCATCATGGCGGAGTCGCTGGAGGATTTAAACACCATGCTCAGCGACCTCGATATCGTCTCCCAACAGGTGGGTCTTAAAATGAACATGGACAAGACCAAAATCATGTCAAACGTCCATGTTGCACCTGTACCGGTCATCGTTGGGAACGATATCCTCGAAGTTGTAGACCACTACACATACTTAGGGCAGATTATACAGCTAGGTAGGTCCAATTTCGACAAAGAGGTCGCCCGAAGAATCCAACTTGGATGGGCAGCGTTCGGGAAGTTACGCGAAATCTTCTCATCGAAAATCCCTCAGTGCCTAAAGACCAGGATGTTCAACCAGTGTGTGTTGCCGGTGATGACGTATGGTACCGAGACGTGGTCCCTGACCTCTGGCCTTCTGGAGAAGCTCAAAGTCGCTCAGCGTGCGATGGAGAGAGCTATGCTCGGGGTTTCTTTGCGCGACAAAGTCCGAAATATGGAGATTCGCCAAAGAACAAGAGTTACCGACATAGCTCGCAAAATATGCAGACTGAAGTGGCAATGGGCAGGCCACGTCGCTCGAAGGACTGACGGCAGATGGGCCAGGAAAGTCCTTGAGTGGAGACCACGGACCGGAAGACGAAGCGTGGGCAGACCTCCCGCTAGGTGGACCGACGACATCGCCAGAGTTGCGGGGAGCCAGTGGATGCGGGTGGCGAGTTGTCGTTCGACGTGGAGGGCTAAGGGGGAGGCCTTTGTCCAGCAGTGGACGTCTTCCGGCTGTTGATGATGATGATGATGAACAGGTTTTAGTTGTTTTTTTTTTCAGTTTAGCTACAAAAACTATTTACTATGCGTGTTATTAGTGTATTGGTTACAAGACTCTGTGTGGGTATTTAAATAATAGTAAATCCTGGTGTACTTGATGATTCGTTTCCGTTCGACGACAAATTCCATTCAACTGTACTTGTACTCCTAAAACATATCTGTTAATATTAACTCCATCTCTATGTCATCCACACCAGTTAATAGGCCATCAGTTCTACTCTGTGCTTTCCTTCACGTGTCATCGAGTACTTATTTCGTTTGGTCGCGTGTGACACAATTTACACGATCCGGAGAGCTCCGAGACGGTCGCGACCAACCTGTCACCATTCAATGGACTTGCAAAAACTTGCTGAATCAGTCATTTGTTTACAACCCGAGGAAATTCCCATCCATTGTAACACGAGATTTCTTAGGTAAAGTTGACCGATAAATTAGCTTTACTAAGGTGTTCCTACGTCTCTACGATGAGTATGATGTGGTGTAGCCTCTACGTCAACGTCGTAGATATATACTTTTCCGATTTTCTCTTTATACTCTTCCCAATTATAGAAGAAAATATAGCAATAAAGTGGTTTGAAAAGATTGCGTTCCTGGAAACAATATAATGTCATGTGGGGCGCGTGCGCACGCGATATTGCAATGAAATAACAAACAAAAAGGTTCCCTGGCTTTCCTCTATTAGTTATTACACTTTTTAAGTACTTGATCGTAGGGTTTTTACCAGAAACAGTTCATAAGACTATTGACTTTGGCATTATATAAGGTCACAAAATTATTCGTAAGTTTGATAAAGTGACAAAGCCTTTAAGAGGAAGTAGTGTGGGAAGTTTCCACGAAAAGCAGTTCTAAAATTAACTTTAAATTAAAATCAACACACGTTCTATTTGTTTGGCTTAACATGGTTACCTGTATAACGTAGTTCGGTTATTTCGGTTGGCAGCTGCGTCGGCCTGCTCGATGAGCTGCGCGAGCGCACGCGCCTGCTCGCTCAGCGTCAGCAGCTCCAGCTCCTCGCGGCCCAGCTTGTACTGCAACTCTGCTTGCTGGATTCGCGTGTCTATGTTACTGGGATAGAAAAATTAGGTTAGCAGTAGACAATACAAAAAGTTTCTGACTGAAGTTAGTTATAGTATCTTGCACAATATCGACTTAATTACTAGATAGCTTTGTTTTACAAATATTCTTATCCTTCTTTAAGTAACGGATGATTTTTGTTTAAAGAATTTTGTCTCTACTGTACTGTCAATATGTATGTGTATCGATATAATTTCATTTTTGATAGAAATGTAGCAATTGCGATTGTCGAGAGAAGAGAGAAATACTTATTTCATTTTTCTATATTTACTCAGTAACATGTGTCTTCTCAAGTCGTCTCCTGAGTTCCTGTATGTTAGCCTTGCGAGTGTCGAGCTCGCTCCGGACGGCATTGGCTCGTTCCTCCAGTGCCCTCCTCTCGTCTGCTGAGAGGGCGGTGGCGTGGTCCTCGTGGGAGCTGGCTCTGGATGCCGTGGGGGAAGCGAGCCGCGCTGCACTTAGCGATGCACTGAGTTGCTTCTTTAGACTGTAGGCGCAATAATGCTTTAATTAACGTATGAATTCAACTGAATATTTGGAATACCTATTTAGATAAATGATTCATAATTGGAGCTTTTTGAAATATTCATTGTTCTGTAGTATGTCTAAATGTACTTATGGTTATTTACTGCATATGTATACATAAGGTAGGGTTAACCACCTTTGTATGAGGGTGTCCTTATCTGTGAGTGCAGTCCTCAGCGCATCGAGCTCGCGGCTGACGTCACGTGCGCCTGCGCTGCGCCGCCGCGACCCCGCTAGCGACACCTCGATACTGGCCATCTGGGTACACAAACAAGAACAATGAAACACGTATCCATAAATAATTATACATACATTACATATATTAACAAATTCAATTTTGTCTTGTTTATTTCATATCTGGAGTCTTGATGTAGACACTTAAAAAAACCATTACACATATTATTATGACGCCAAACGCGACGTGTCACTGTTGGTGACACTGGAAAATGTAGTTTGTTGGTCTATAACGGTTTTAATTTTTACGAAATCTTCCTTCCGAGGCTTACACCATAAACCAGACAGTTTGAAAGCTGTAACTCGATGGTGTGACAAGTAGCCAAACAAATGTCTCTCACATGTATATAGCCGGTAGAGGTGGTACCTCTACCTACATCAGCTACGATATAGGTATACAAGTACTCGCTCAGTCATTCGCTGTACACTTTATGTTCCTGCTTCATGTCACTTGGCCTAGCGAACTTAATTAGGATTAGCTAAGTTATGTTCAAACTGAATGTCTAACTTACATACTTTATAGTCGAAACTTGGAAGTCATTCATTCATGCTAATTGAGAGGTTTCGTACATTTGTTTTACTATATTTCCAACTTAAATATTGTTGAATGTATAATTAAAGTACACTTTAGTTACGTTAGTTTAGAGGTAAATAACCATCGTAAAATTAACTTTATTTCTTCGGCTGTTTTTGCAGTAATGTACATTTGGTTGTAACAGGCCATTTATTTTGTTATAAACACACACAACTTTTTATGTTAAATATTATGTGATTACATAATAAATAAATAATAAAAATAAATAAAATAAAATAGCCTTTATTGCTGTTTCTTATCAAATATTACATATTTTTCTTTAACATGCCTACTTTCTAATAAACTTTTATTACTTGCTTTTAACTATCGGCAACTAGGTGTTTTTGTGGAACAGCTTGTCTGTCGACAAAGGCCTCCTCTAAAGATTTCCATGTATTTCTGTCTCTAGCTAAACGGGTCCATACTGGACCAGCTATTTTCCTGATATCATCTTCCCACCTTTTCGTTTGTCTACCTCTTTTTCTTTTACTGTCCCTTGGATACCATTCCGTCACTAGCTTAGTCCATTTGTCTCTATTTTCCCTAAGCATATGTCCTGTCCAACGCCACTTAAGCTGTCTGTAGACCGTGTGTACATTTTTAAATTTAGTTTTCTTTTTAATTTCTTGCAGTTTTATTCTGTCTCTTCTTTTTATACCTAATATGCTCCTTTCTATTGTATTTTGACACACTTTTAATTTTTGTTCTAGTAGTTCAGTTAATGCCCATGTTTGGCACCCGTATAGCAGACATGGCATAATGCATATTTCATACACTTTCTTTTTTGCTGACATTGGCATATCTTTATCTTTCATTACTTCTTTAAGTGACCAAAACCGTTTCCAGGTATTCGTTATTCTTCGTTCTATTTCTTTTTTCATGCAATCCTCTATAGATATCAGTTGGCCCAAATATATATATTCCGTTACATACTCTATTTCTTCGTTATTTACTGTTATTTGTTCGTGGTATACTGTTTCTTGAGCGTTCGTCATAATTTTAGTTTTTGTTAAGTTCATTGTCAAGCCGGCCTTGGCGCTTTCATCAGATAGTTGTTGCATCATTAGTCCCAGCGTTCCAGCGTCCTCTGAGAACACAACCAAATCATCGGCGAAGCGTAGATGGTTGAGATTTTCGCCATTTATATTGAGGCCCTTTTTGGTCCAATTTAGGTTTCTAAAGATCATCTCTAACACTGCCGAAAATAATTTAGGTGATATAGGATCTCCTTGGCGCACACCTCTTTTAATAGGGAACTGGTTTCCCGTAGATTCAAGTTTTACTTGTGCAGTGCTTGCTGTATAAACGTTTTTAATTATTCTTATATATTTTGCTTGAACTCCTTGCCTCTGTAGAGCGTCCCATATATACTCGTGTTCTAATGTATCGAATGCTTTATTAAAGTCAACAAATCCAATGTAATACGTTTTATTATACTCTCCATATTTCTGTATTATCTGTCTTAGAGTGTGTATGTGATCTATAGTTGAAAACTTACTACGGAAACCAGCTTGTTCCTTAGGTTGGTTTTCGTCTAATATATTAGTGATTCTTTGTAGAATGATTTTAGAAAATATTTTATAAATATTGGACATTAAACTGATCGGTCTGTAGTTTGCTATATCATTCTTGTCTCCTTTCTTATGCAGCAGTATGATTGTCGATTTGGTCCAGTCTTCTGGGATGGTTTCCTTTTCTAAGATTTCATTAAACAGATCTGTCAGTCTTGGTGCTATCACTGGTGACGTTGTTTTCAATAATTCATTAGTGACTAGATCTGATCCAGGTGCTTTATCTAGTTTTTGTGATTCAATTGATTTTATTGTTTCCTCTGTTAGTATTGTGTTTATCTCGTCTGTATCTGCTGAATTGTATTTTTTAATTACTTGATCACCTTTACGACTTTGGTATAAATTTTTGTAGTATTCTGTAGCAATTTCTAGTATTTCCGGCCTTTTGCTCGTCTTTTCCCTGTTTTTATTTTTCATATTTGGAATCCAGTCCTTTTTGTAACTCATTTCTTTTAGCGCCTTCTTTATTCCCCCTGTTTTATTTATATGCTTCTTTAGTGTTTCAAACCTTCTTGCTTTCCGTTCTTTTCTAAGTTGTTCGCTAATCCGTTTGCTTAATTCTGCTATCTTTTGGATGTTATTAATTTTGCTATGTTTTCCTTGTTGTATAAGTTTTTTCCGTTCTTGTAATAATTGCTTACTTTTAAATGATATCGCTGTCGTACTAGTCATGTTTACTTTTTTAGTTTCTATTTTCAGTTGTTTGAGCAAATGGGTATATTTTTCTTGGGTCGACATACATTGTTGTTCCTTTCCTTGCAAGGATTATTGAGGTGATTACATAGAACGTTAGTAATGACATGTTGTACCGTGTGGTTAAATATTAACCAGAGATAGATGGTAGATATCATTTTAATGTGTAGTGGCCGGACGGGGTCATTAATGCTTCAAAGTACCTATACATCTAGCATGTCAAGTTATCTAAAACAGTCCAAATTCTTGAGATGATATTCAACTTTATTGCACAAAGAAAAGATTGAAAGTCAAATGTGTTAAGATGTGACAGCTGGTTGTGTTTCATTTTAATGAAAATAACCATGTAAAGCTACCAGTATTCCTTCTTAAACTTTATGTAGAATTGTGTAATGTTAATGTGCGTTGAAGTCGTTTGTTGTGTGACTTCCTGCGCGGGCGCACGCCTCGTTCCACACCAAGGCGCTTAGTTTTAGTGTAGTTCGGAAAGAATAAGTACTTGACGGTTGAATTTTAGCTGATAACTGTTTACTTTGTGATGTGTCGGAATCGGAAGACATTAATATTTAATTTTGTGAACCAAGAGACAACTGACAGCTAAGAATTATTTGTAATTTCAATAACATCGAGGTATCATTTGAAATTAATTAAACGAATCAACTTCCAACTCGCATTCACTCCAATAATCACATATATATAGGCATTAACCACATTCTACTCTACCTACGTATCATTTTAATGTAAATAAAGAATTAAAAAAAAATAGTAACTAATGTCACTTCTCACCATTAAGGCTTTGTAACAAATAGGTTGTCGTTAATTATATTGCTGTATCTGAGTCTATCCAACATTGTAGGCTCTTCCTTTGAGATAGCATATAGCCTACAGGTGGCAGTGAATGCAACTGCCTATATTATTACACATAGTAAAGATCATGTCTGTGAGAATATCTGCAGATGAAGCGTGCGATTACAGAACTGTAGGAGCCTGTGTAGGGTTATGGCCACGCTCGCAGTACAGTGTCACACTGATTAATGATAAGCGTTGTTTAATATTTACTATGTAGAGGGTCTCTTCTAGAAAAGGCCTTTGTGGGAATATAAAACAATCTACTAACCGGTGTCAAATAAAGAAATAAGTTCGAAACATAAAAGTGAGAGGAAGTTAAGACGTTTACACTTTAGAAAATACTAGCTACTTCCGCGCGGTTTCACACGCTCTACTCAGCTCCTATTGGTCGTAGCGTGATGTTTTATAGCCTATAGCCATCTTCGATTAATGCGCTATACAACACAAAAAGAATTATTCAAATCAGACTTGTAGTTATGGAGATTAGCGCATTCAAACAAACAAACAAAAACAAACTCTTCCGCTTTGTATAATATAGTATATAGAGATAGTATAAGAGTATAAGATATTTGTTTATTTAAATTTTATTTTTTAAGGCATATCAATAATTTAATCACAAATATTGATAGTAAGAAAATGATATCTGTTATTAAGTACATATTTTAAGATTGTTGATAAATTGTTGTAATGTAGTAACAGAATAAAGTGAGGTTTCATGAGTTTAAGCATATGGAGACATTTCAGTTTATTTCTTGGATGCTGCGAAGAATTTTTATGGTTACTTAATTTTTTTATTGCATGGAACTTACAGCTGAAGAATGTGCTGTGCTAAAGGCCACAAAGCTCAGAATGTGCCATTTATTATGTACTTACACAAGTATTCGGCCTTCTTTTAGAAAATCAAAGCTAAAGTGTTTAAAGTTAATCTAATATATCATTAGTAAGCTTACTCGAAGTAGAAAGTCAAAGAGATACGATAACACAAGGGCAACGATTCTCCATCATATCGTGTGTTGTTTAATTGCTGTGTAGTACGTTGTAGTTCACTCTACCGACTTCTTAAGCTGCGTGTGTTTGCACATTTACAGTCAAGTACACGTACAGTGTACATGTTATATTTTATGGCCAGCTATCACGGAGTTCCCATCCATTGTGCAGTGGTACCGCAACTGTATGCCGCCCTTTTTTCTCACAAATTACCGTCGCATGATACACTGCCTTCGATAACGTAGATCTCAACGTTGATTGAATATTATATGTAATGCAATGTGTGCCGGTTTGGACATCTATTGTTTTAATCTAGGTCGATGTACTTGGAGATAAGCCTTGATACTACCTTATCTAATTATTATTATATTTTCATTGTCGAAAGTTTCGTTATTTATTTTAAAGCTGGCAATTAGATAGAAATTGTAAATGTCTCATACTCCCAGTGCATGGCATGTAGCTCCATAACTTACGCACTAAGTGCCCAGATAAAACTACAAACAATGAAAATAAATTAAAACGATACTAATTCAATAAATGCCGGGCGCGAAATCGATACTGGAATATAATGAATCGAGTATAATCGATTGGGAACAAAAAGCCAGCGGCTGCGCTCGCGCAAGTCGCGCGTCGCATAACAAATTGTATAATTGAAAGCGATTCGATCTGATGCCACTGAGACCAGATGCACAGAGATTAAAGTGAAGGAAACTGTACGTTTAGTATGAGAACGGCATGGTGCCATTGTTAGTATCGTGGTACGTTTTCCCCTCCGTGGTTTGTTAAGTTATTATAATGCTTCACTGTCAAACCTCATATCAAAGTCTCGTTTTTAATTATTATTCATCATCAGGCTTGTCATATCAGGAGCTATGTGTGTGTTTCTGTATAAACGTGTACAGCGTGTATAGGCGTCAAAGTTAAATATAGATTTTTGTCTGAAAACATTAATGTAATCTAAGGGAAGAACCTTTCAATAAAAGGGGGGCAAAACAGGTTGCCCACTAGCTACTGGTTCATCGTCCAGCCTGTATGTATAATTTCAAATAGTCCCGCATTCAGATCTACGTATTACCGCATATTTATTGTAGCACACTTTAATATCAAACATCGCGATGAAATCTCCTCCATCTCTGTCACTCGTAAGATACTTAGTAATGTGGAACAAAGACAGTTTATTCTCTGCCTAGATCTCGGTGTAGATGGCGATAAAATGCAGAAACTATTGCTGACAATAAATTGGCAAGTAATTGCATGTGCGGACTATAGAATTGCATATGCATGCGAGGCTGAGCTCCCTCGGTAATGCGACCGCTGCAGGCACTGCTATGATACGCTGTCAAACTGTCCGCTCTGCTGCCGAAAGGTTTGAAATTATTTTTTCCAATAATGTTGTGACACCGTCATTTGCTGTCAATAACAGTGTGTATGGGAATCGTGTAGGCATTCCTTTAGAATATTTGTCGTGTAAAATATGTATGTATCGCAGGCTTCACTCATTTACATGTGTGTACATTTTTTCATTTATCAAGACATCGTAAAATACATAAGTTTGCATGAATACTAAACGAAGTGCGCCTTGGGCATATACATATTACAATCAGTTGTATCTACATACACAGGTATGTTGGAGTGGTTAGTTTAGTTTACATGTATGTGTAATAAATGTTGTTCAGAGTACAAATATAAAGTTATGGCAATTTTAACTGTAAGATGTAGTGCTTCAATAAGTTAGGTCCTGTATGACCAGCGGCTATCGACTCAACACTCGGCTCGCTTCACTTTCGTTCCGATTATTACGCGCCGATTACAACGCAGCCTGCGGGACCGGCGCGGCACTGTGCGGAGTCTGCGTGCCATCATGATACTCGTACGAAGGTGTCTATCTCTTAGTGGCTGGCTACTTATTATTATTGTAGTTCATTCAAGCGCTGTTTGTGATATATTAAGTATTAAAAAATTCCAAATAATCAAAATGTAAAGGGCACAACTATACAATTTAGCAATTTTTTCTTGATACAAAATAGATAATAGTAGTAGCAATAATAATAATGTCAATAAACGTGAATAAAATATTAGTGTAACTATCACCGAATCTTTAAAACATTTCACTACAGTAGCAAGGTAAGTGCGTGTTAATCAGCCAATCTTAATTAGCTCGCGCTAATCAGATGACGCAACGCGGCGCGGCGGGGTGAACCAGTACAGCAGTGTTGGATCGCAGTGTCGCGGCGCGGTGTCGCTATAAATCCCGTGTAGTGTCGCGATGTCGCCGAGCTGTCGCGACGACAAATTGTCGCCGAACAACTTCCAGTGTGGCGCGAATGGTAATCCATTCATGTCGGATTATGTTACTGAAGTATTTACTTTCAGATAATTATATAAATAGTCGTAACAAACGGGTAACCTAAACTATAAAAAATAGGGCTCAGTAGAAATAAGCTTAAACGTTATACAACTATTTTTTACGACTTCAAAAAGCTGTATACATTACATATAATCTCGTGTGTATTACCAGCTGTTACTATAGATAGTTCACCTCAACCAAATACTTGTAGGTTTATATTCATAATTTATTTCGCGATAAATTAACACATTCACGTACATGCTTCAGTAATTCTAATATACAAGAGAAGGTATCACTTCGCATACCCAGGACTCAAGAGGATAATATTGAAATGGAAACTGCATGGAAAGTATGACGTGCGATAAATCAGAGCAGTTAATAATAATTCTAACAGCTATCTCTAGGATGCGATGCGATAAATAAATGGCTGCAAATTCAATTTATTCAATGATTAAATATGTTCGTTACATCCACCGCAGCGACAGAATATTTTATACAACTGGTTGTTGCACGTGACTTTGTTCGTTGATGGCTAATAAACGGGTCATTTGTTTAAAACCTAAATTGTAAGTACTGAAAATAATAGGTCCGTTAATATAACCATTGTTAAGTGATATCATTACTATTCAAGCAAAGATGTGAAATAAAGTTTTATTAATCTATTCTGTCTTAAAATTTCTTCCCACTAATTTATATTGCCCGTATGATCTGTATCCCAAAATACAAACATTTATGCACGTTCAGAAGGAATCGTAAGGTATCATGCATACTAGTCTTTAATTGTTCCAACAGATTTAAACTGGTTCAAATGTTATTTATGACTTCCTCCTACACGTGCTTAATCACTTCGTTAATAACTGTGTAGTGAACTCGCAACAGCCGTAGCAGCGCGTTGATGTCTTTTGTACTAGAAACGGAAATTGAACGAAAGTCGGCGCGAATTTTCATCTAATTTGCTGTAATCATGATGTAAGTGCTCGTGTATGACTGGTTTATGTATATTTAGCTTTCTAAGATGTACGTGAAAGTGTCCGTAGTATCGATACAGTCCAGTAGTCCCAGTAATTACTATATTTATAAGTCATGGTCACGTGGACCGGAGTTTCTCTACTACTCGTGTTATGTTATGGCTTCTTATGAGATTTTTCCCATTATTTGTACTCATATAAATAAAATAAATTTGTTGCTTGTATCATTTTTGATATGCTTATTCATATTAGTTGCTTAATATTATTACTGGGAATGTGATAACTTTACATATGTTATCATCATTGCACTTTTATATTTATCGATATGTATATAAATAAAGAAAATGCCTCCCAAGTAGCATTGAAAATTTTTTTTTTCATGACTTTCATTTTTTAATATGTTGGCGTAAACCAATAACAACGTTAATTACATACATATTCTTTCGACAAGAACTTCCGGTTTACGTGAACGTTAGTGATGGATCACTGACCTTGGCCTCCAGGCTCTCGAGGTTGCTGACCCCGCCGCCGCCCGCCTCCAGAGTTTGCTGAAACAAATAATTACATAATCAGCTTCACTTTGACCTTGACCTACGGACTGTGTGCACTGATACGGATTCCTTATATTAGGTGTCAAAGTGATTCGTGAACATTTCTATATTATCACACTAATATTATAAATGTGAAAGATTCTTTGTTTAAATGTTTGTCCGTCAATACCGCTGAAATTACTGAACGCATTTTGATGAAATTTTGGTATACAGGCAGGGTTTGATAAGTCATACCCTGCCTGTATACCTGAGAGTTATATTTCCTGATTTCCCATCACTTGAAAGTGATAGAACTTTTTTCCGATTAAATGCTCCCATTGAATAAAACAGGAATACGTAAAATGGTAAAACATTCTTCTTCTGACTTCGTCCGCGTAAAATAAAGTACAAGCATGAGTGTAATTTTCTTAACTGTTTACTACACATATAAACCATCTTCTTTAATCACTCCATTTAACAAAAAAAAACAACAAAATCTGTAGCAAAGTTTTGAAGGTCTAACAAAGAGTACTTCTGTTCGGGAAAATCGAACGCGCGACACGTTGTTCGGCAGCCAGTTGCCCAGCCACCGCGCCAACCGTGCAGCCTAACTATGTGGTGATGTTATTGTAGCACGCCGTGTGTCTGACTTGCTGTGAGGGTTTTTAAATATAAAACTTAAAGATATTTCTTGTGGTTCTAGAATTGAACCGAGGACCAAGAAACATATGCAACAAGGAAACCACAATAAGGAAGTATTTCATTCATAATATACAGTTAAAGGTCCTCATTTATGATCGTGTGTCGTGCGGCCCGCTGGTTGACTGGTAGGTACCGATGCATAATGTATGGGCCACACTCCACCACTGATCACGATCCATGCGCAAGGGCACGTGCGCCCTAAAACTTTGCTTATTAACTATTTTAAAGTCAAAGCATTTACTTCAATGGATCCCTAATTAGGCACTTTTCAAACGTCAATAATTGAATTGTCACACCGTCTGTCTATCAGTGAATCTAGGCGCGCTACATACAGAAGGCCAAATCTACAATTTATTAATATAGTAGTAGTTACAGTTTTGGCTAGTATGTTGGAAAACGTATTCTAGTTTTTATTCAAGATTTTCTGCTCATTTATTTATAGGGAATACGACCATAACGGTGAGAATTTTTATATCGTCCTTTCAGGGTTCTCAGAAAGAGGGAGTCCCGGAGACAGCTAACGAGAGGAAGTTGAGATCCAAAATTTCTAAGAATTGCGCAATAAATTTCAGTTTATGACGTCATTCAGTCAAGATTGTTACTGGTTACGACAATTTTATGGTACTTTAATGATCGTCAGTTAAGGGCCAACTATAAAAACCATCGTTTAAATATTATTTATAATTTATAAAAGTTTTAATCAGAAAATGGTCCGTTACATCGAGTCATGATGATGAGATTAGAACTTGAAACAAGTCAATATGATTAACTTTGCTATATTTAATATTCTTATTTGACGTGTTTAGAAAATGCCTCTACTGCTTCCAACGAGTTACATATTTTGGTATTTTTAATTTTTCTGAAGTATATTGGATAAAAATTAACAAATAATATCCATTTAAAAATGTTCTTTTCAATACCAAGTAGGGGGTAGTAGCACAACTACTTCAACTCCATATTATTTTTTAATAATTCAATTGACCTTTATATTACGATTCAATACGTGTATAACAATTAATACTCCGTGTAGTACAATATCGTGGAGCCCCAGTTTCGTGCAGAACTGGATCAATGTTAAACTGCCGCGGCACACGCGCGTCATTATGAAGATTATCAGCTCGGAGTCGCTGACAGACATGATGTAAGGCACCAGTGCTACAGGTAGCGGTTCGAGAACTTTCGATTAGATTAAGTGATCAATAATAATTAATAACGTTCAGACATGTAGGTATCGTGTTTAGAAAATTGTCTGGCATATATGTTTTTGCGAAAGTCATCATACATTTTCAGGCACAAAAACGAAAATGCTTTGCAAATATTAGATTATTTTTTATCCATAAGTTTGAGATAGCAATATCAGTGTTTTCTTCTTAAATCGCTATCATTGAGACCACGGCCTGCCCATCGGCAGCGCATGCGCATGCCATAGCACGGCTTTCTATTTCACATCGCCGTCAGATTTCACGTTATTAGCAGCAGGCCGCGTCCCATTGTTCAGCCCCATGACGTGACTGACGCTTACAGGAATCCTATTTTATCGTCAAACCTTTTATAGGTACACCTGAGTACCGAGTACTTCGATACCGGATAATACCGGTTAACACCGGCTTCATTCTTCACTCGCCGCTTACAATACTTCTTGTTTCTTTATAACAGCCGTGTTAAATTTTTCTTTAGTTAGAAAAATTATCAATTGGCGTAGACTACGCTGGTGGCATTGTATGGGTTTATGGGTATTCTATATGTCATGTGGCTTACTCCTTACAAAAAGTCCAATTTTATTTATCTGTATAGATGTATGAATATAAATATTTCCTAAGTTTGAGGTACAAATCATCTTACTATATCATCTTTATGACACATAGAACGTAACACGGTAAGTATCTCTACGTAACACTGTTTATTCAATTTTACTGTTATAATAATTCGCATTCTTACTTCCTTTCTAAATAAAACGTATATCATTAATATCGGTCGAGTACATTTTAAGTTTATAATAGAATACTGCGCTCTCTCTTTGTTAATTATAGTGCAAATTAATAAGTCACACTAATGAAGCTCATTGCTTACATACTTCGAATATTCTTTTCTTACGTAAATCTATGGAAAGTTGAGATTGTCTTTATTTGCAAAAAGAAAAAATTAAAACAGTAAAAGGATACATTGCTACTGGAAACTAGAAATGTACTATCATTAGACAAGTTAATAATGTTGCATTACAGTTCGGCTCCATATTCTAGATTATTCATAACAAAAAAGCAATAACCAAACAAGCAGTTACTAGATCACACAAGGCTGAAATAATTCCTGTAATCACGTTCTTTCAGTACTGTGTAATGACAGACACGCTCTATGCAAACAGTTCCTACATGCGTAGTGGAGCGGTGCCATTAACTCCGCGGTACAATAGTTTTAATAACCGCGTCCGATAATTGCACGGTACTGGGACACTCCATCTGTTTGGACAATAGTGTCGTGGAGCAGTTATTATAATCACTATAAGTCCCCATAGGATATACAGTACGTTGTATGAAACCGGACTTTTGTAGTTCGCGACCATTTTTATTAATTTATTTAATATTTTTTAGTTTTCCAGTAGGTTCAATTTTTATTTAAAGATAGTTTTTGTGAAGAAATTTTGCGATTCGATGTCAGTCTACTGACTAATAAGAACAAATCTAATGACACATTATTTATGTAGTCACATGATTATTAAACTTTCTTCACTCAGGTATGTGTGGTTGACGTACCTCTGTGTATGATAGCTGATTGACACATGCTATTAGCTGTATTTTTTACCAGCCACGAGGTATTCCACCAGGAACGTTAATTGGTCGTCCAGCTACTAATGTGGCAGTTTCCCTCACATTCTTCGAAACATTTGAAGAATCGCAGCCACTTCCGGGTCTTAACGATAGTCCGACCATTAAAGGAGTTTTTTATAAAGTGCAACGAGAAATTTCTTAGTTTAATGAGTTTAGAAATCTGAACACATATTTATCACGGACAGTTTTACGATGATGCTGTATCAGTGAGTGACGATTACGTGTAGTTTCAGGGTAATTTCACATTGATATTTAATATGCTTTCATACGTTTTCACATGAATATGTACACTAAAGTAATAAAATGTTTAAAGTACACTTTTAACATGAATCCATGTATGAATACTTTGTATTTGAACAGTAAATCACTTCAGTCGTAGTATTAACCAGTCAATGTTTGACTCGTTAATACTTAACGTGTGGGAATTATGTACTTAGTGGGAAATGGTAATTGTGGGCTAGTTAGTCAGTCACCGGCCGACATTGTGCAGACTGTTTAATAGCGTGCTAATAACTGAGGAAGCTGCAGTCTAGGCTAAACACATGCACTGCTCAGGTAATGAACCAGTGACCACGCCCAGTGCTCGTGTGTCAGCTCGCGAGCCACGCGTTTATTAGACCTATCAACTTCTTAACTATGTTTTGTTGAGAGTGTAGAGTGAGCGCTGGGGGAGATGGGTTCAATACACAATTTAGTTGTTTATTTGTCATGGAGCCTACTGGGTTTGGAAATAGAAATAGGGTATATACAGAAATAGATAATTATTCTAGTCGGATAGTTAGATACTCTATCAATTCAATGTATAGTGGTAAACAATTTTCACGGATGTCACTTACTTTCATTCCGTGGAAATGATGATATCATCTATCTTAAGATAATGTATGAATAGAGTTGGAGGGTGGGAGACTCATGTTCCTATATTCTCAGCCCGGCGGAGTCATGTTCACAACAATTAATCATAGTAATGACATGATGTATGATCTTGACACGATTACGACAGCGGGACGGCAGCGGTGCTAGTGTGGGTGCAGTGGGTGCTACAAGCGCCCAGCATTATGACTAGAACATCTCTGCTAGGGTTGTTCAATATTCATTAGTGTAATAAATAATCACGTGTTGCACGTATATAATTATGCTTTGTTTTGCGCGCTTAATGGTTAGATCGCATATATGACAGCGGATCACGAAGTTAAATCTGAAGTCATTTAGAAATCAATATCCATATTTGATACTTTGCCCCACCCGGAACACTACTGATTAATTTTGCCGTGGAGGTCAAGACAGTTTGGTAAGAGATACGACTGCAGATCCTGATTAACAGGAGTCATCTAGTTAAATTTGATGCCAAATATAATGGAACCAATCCAATTGCGTACATAATAATTAGCTGATGCTATTGTTAGTGCTTGTAATACACAAGGATCTCTAGAGACAGCCCTGTATGTGTGAGTCACCATCAGCCTGCGATCGCTCCATGATTACACGGTGTAAACAAGCTATTAGATGTTAAGCTGTTACAGCTGTCTCGAGGCCGATAGTTATAATCAGCACTCGCAGTACTGAATTACAAATCTTAAAGTTTTACTACCTAACAGCCTAGCTGATGGTACCCGGTTACCTGGGTAGTGAGGATAAGTATGGAGTACAATGAAATATTAGATTTTAAAAGGCAAGATTTTTGCTCCTACTGTAGATTATTATCCAACTCCTGAAATCAGTGTGAAATCTTGGCTTCGGAAACCGAGTGGTGGTTGAACAGTACGAGACAGAATGCAGCCTCCATTGCTTGAAGTGACGTTCCCTGATTGACGACTGACGTGAATTTAAATTAATAATTCAACCGACCCTACGGACGTCGATGCGGACGAATTTTTCGATGCTCTGTGTAAATAGTTATTTTTAGTTTTGTTTTATTTAATTTTTATCTTTTTGTATCTTAAGTTGTTACTATATATTTAGTAATTAATTGAATACATCATTCTTATGTTGTGTTTTTCAATCAATTAGTTAGTGTTACTCAGTAAAATAATCATCATGACTTAAAACAAGATGTATATTTTTAAACTGTTAAACGTACATAAGCTACAAAGGCTTAGCTTTTCTTCTACAAAGCGCGATTTTATTAGCTGTACCTGATTTTCCCTTTTTATTAATTTATTTGAGCACTGACAAAAAGTCTTCATAGCAATATTAAACGGACTTAACGAAGTAATAAGAAATAACCTTAAATTAACCTCTGTCGAGTACCTATTAACACTTATGAATTTCAAACCACAATTACACAAGTGTTACATAGAGGATTAATTACTGCACTCTGCACAATATTGCATTACTCATTAATAACTTGTCGTGTGAGATGGCCCGAGGGGTTCCGCTGCAAACCTTCACACCTAATCACTATTGATTTATTTATTTCCAATGTAAGTAATGTTATGCTTCAGGCATTCTTACTGGAGCAAATTATAATTGGAAAATTTTATTTAGTACCTAACTTGAATTAGTTTCTGTCCTTGCAAGTTATAAATTTACTATTTACTTGTTTCCTCGAATGTTCTAATAAAAGTAAGTACAGGTACAGACAATTACAAGTGTGGGAGAGCCATGCTTCGGCCTCACAGAAAACCGACATGACATAACGTTATCGGAGGCCCAATTCCCTCCCTCCCCAATCCCCCAACAATCCTCAAATTCCTAGTACCCAAAGGGCCGGTGTATCGCCTCTGGTGTTTCGGGTGTCCATGTGCTTACCATCAGGTGAATCGTATGCTCGTTTACCGGCTCAACCCCAAAAAAAATACCAAGTCTATAGATACGAAAGACTAGTTTTATTAACTACAATGCGTATAACAAAAAAATAATATAATCAGATGAAAGTAAAAGTAACGAAAGTGTAAACAATGATGCGCATACGCAAGTTGCCATGTCATCGCACACACATGACGCGTGTTGGCGACTTGTCATTGTTATCATTCATACACATACGTACACTTACCTACTTATGATATGTATGTATTGTTGCTATTATGTGTTGTGTGCACTGATACAGTTGTTGACAGCTGCTGACACTGTAGTTGTGGAGACGAGTACCTAGTGGCAGTATATTGTAGTTCATTCAATGTCAATGCAAGGTTTAATAGGTGTTAAGTTATTGACACTTCAACCTTCAGTATTGTGGTTTCTTATAAGTAACTAATCACCTTAATCCGTAAGGATATAAATATACGAAATCCACCGACTAAATTCTTAATCCGACTAAATATAGTTGAAAACATGATTAACTAGATTTGTAAAAGCAACAAAGCAGGTTTGTGCTGCAACTAAATTATCACAATTATTTGTGAAAACATTGTACCCACAGGCACAGAGCCTCTTACAAAGATGTTATGACTTATGCGTAAGTAAAAACAACGATTAACAAGAATATTAAAGAGTTGTTCGTTAAGTTATTGCCATATAGTAAATAGTTCCATTACTTAAAAGATTACCACATCATTTGAATGTGTCGGTGTTACAATATGCATTGTCTTTGTCCCTTACGATCGGACTATGCGTCGGAGCACGCCGGCAATAGTGATGGTGTTTAGTAACTGCTCGTAATCATAATACACAGGGGAATTTGTTGGTCCACTTTCATGTGATGAATGAAGCCGATGGACACCACTAGTGCATTGGTAGATTTTATAATAGGAGTTATGTTCCATCTTGGTTTCTGTTCGAAAATAATCTTAAATTCTTGTCTTGATTTTGGTGGAATGTAATTGTAGCAGCAAAATTAAAATATTGTCAACTAAAATTTTGCATTTCAAAGCTTGTCTAAAGATTGTCGAAAATAATACTTAAATCGCATTTGATGCTGGTTTTTTGGTTTTATCAAACTCTCCATAAATATTTAAATAAATAAATCGAGGGAAAAATGTAATAGATTGGAGAATCTGTTACAAAGGCTTTAACTCCCTATTTATAAACATCAGCTCCATCAGAGTATTTCCTGTTTTAGACCAGTTTATCATCATTACAATGCCCTCATTTATACAATCAAAGCGCAGTGATGTAAGCACAAAGCCTGCAGTATACAGGTTCAGGTCCGAGCCGTCAATTATGTCGATGCGATCGAGGTGCGCATGCGCCTCCAGCGACCACCGTGCGCCTACGCACGACAACTACAATAGAACACAATATAACTGTCTGTATAAAAAGTCCATTCTTAAGAGTACATAACGAGCTGTGCAGGAAAACAATAAAAAGCTCTCGCTATAAATTATAATATTATTGTTTACTTATTCTCAGCTTGTGTAGAACTAATACTCTCTGCTCTGTTTAGAATTTTACATTGATAATTTCGTATCGGATTCTTACATGTATTCTTATTCATTTCAAAATAACTATAAGAAACGGAAAATCTATACTGAAATTTTTTCCGCAAATAAAACTTCACCTTTATTATAGTCGTATTTTAATGACTACCAGAGCCTTTCTTGATAGATTTTAAATAATTACTCTGGTTGTAATAATTACCATATTAACTGCCAGGGAAGTATTTATTTATTTCTTTTAAACTAGGTTTTCTGTCTCCACTGTATTGTGGCACCGTGTTCATTAGTGTAACGGCATAGATCCTAGGTTCAAACACAAATTACAGGGATCGTAAACAGAGTTTCATTTATCAATGGATAGCTTCGTAGGAATAGAAAGCTCCTAGTAATTGTCTCATTAATTCAATAAGTTATTTCTGACTACAGCTATATTTAACATAATTATTTATCATCACAATACACATTGTTCACAAGAGGGTATGGTTTTGAAATTTCAGAATTTCAGAACTCACGATGACTGAACCAATAGCTGGATATTTTTTCGAATTACTATAAAATATCACCTTTTTTATGGGACAAGCCCGTAAACGAGCAGATGGATCACCTGAAGGTAATCAATCGGCGCTGTCCATCCGAAACACCAGAGGCGTTACAAGCGGGATACCGGCCTTTTAGGGATTACGAATTTGAGGATTACTTTTACCAATGGAGTTTATGTAGTCCTGACTATAACCTTGTTCACAAACCTTAGCCTTAGTAAGAGAAACTTTTATCTTATATTTTATAGAAACAAAAAACTTCAATTAAATTAACTACTGAATGTGTATGTTACTGACCAGTGACGCCGATCGCTGTTGCTTGTGGAGGTCATGCTGGCTGCGCGAGCGCTCCTCCCCCGCATCAGAGAACTGACCGGACTTGCGACTGCAAACAAACAAACGTATTCATTAGTACATTATCTAGGGACACGTCAACTCCTGAAAGCACTATATGGTGTAACTAGCGACTGGTGCAATATGCATGTATTATATCAAACTTCCTTAAGAATCACAATCTATTAAAAAATTGCATCAAAATCCGTTGCGTAGTTTTAAAGATCTAAGTATATACAGGGACATTATTGTTATCTTTTATTTATATTGAAATTAACGAACAAATGAACATTTGTTTTGTTCCATCGCGTTCTCAACGTAAAACTCGCTGGTTAAGTTGTTACATAATTCTTTATGTATTATATTATTTACTTCTAATTTATATTTATGACGTGAAATAATTATATCATTGTTTTAATTATAATTATGTGAACTAAGGTCAAATAAATAATGAATAAGATTTTTCTAACAGTAAACACATTATTGTCATATAATGTACTATGTTATTATTGTATTGTCATGTCATATCACGTACTTAATTTAAATGACAAATAAAAAGGTGAACTAGATTTAACCGAGATCTTGTCAGCTGTGTACATTTACGACTCTGAGAAAATCCTATGTTTTATAAACATAACAATACAATTTTTATTGAAGTTTTATAGATAACGTGGGTATCATAGACCCTGGGAAACGTTAATGTTTTAATTTCCCACTTGACATTCACTCTATTGACACGTTTTGTTATATTTTTAAAGTACTCACTTACCTACATCTGGGTGAATATCAACAAGTGCATATTTTTGTCAATTTTGGTGGCGAAATTTTTTCTTTGCTTTTCGTGAAAACTATTGACCTGGTACAAAAATAGAAGGCTCAAGCTTTAGGAATCTTCATGAGGTCTGAGAATATTCCGGTAACTTTTTGAGATATTTGAGTTGAAAGACTAGTGCAGCCACCAAAATTGATATTTGTCCACCAAAATTGAGAGTTCTTAAAACAATACATTAAAAATCAGTTTTTGTCACAAACTTAAATCTCACTAATAAAGCTCAATGTCTGAAATACTCGGGAATGACCAAAAACTCCATCAGTTAATAAAACTCAGTCTTGTTATGATAATATTCATAATTATTTAACTATCTGATGAACTCGTAATGATAATTTATGAGTGTAGACATAAAACAATATTTTTATTTTGAACAAAATTACTTGCCAAATAACAAAAATTTCCTCAACAAAACTAAGAAACCAAAACATAATAAACTCTTAACTCTTCTCTCTCTTAACTCTTGAGTTCTGAAATCCTTCGCTGCAATATCTCTATCTCTTTGGCTTTGCATTTTTGATATCGTCGGAACTTATTCCTAAACGCACGTTTAAAGTCCACTGATGTTATTGATGTATCTGAAGTTGGACTATCAGGGCATAATATGGAAACAGTACAAATATCAATACTGCTGACACATGGAGATGTTGGGGATGACAGCGCTGTAAGTTCAGCATGGCTACTTGTGCGAAGATTTTGTGACTTAGGTACTTGGAGTAATATGACTTGTGGTCGGCTGTAAGCTGTCGGAGTATTGATGTTGCAAATTCATTTTATTATTACTTTTGGTGCGAGCATCTGGACTACTACAATCACGACTTGTTCGTGGACGTAAATTTCTTGAAACCAAGGTATGCTGCTGCTTATTAATATTCTCGTTGATATATTTTGTTTTTTATTTGCAAAGCGCGATGCTTGCGTTGGGATTTTAGTTTCTGAGAAGCCAGTTTACCTTTTTTTCTTCTCATGATATCTATCCCTCTCTCTTTTCCGTAATTTATTCTTTCTTTTCTTTTTCTTTCTGCCATTATTTTTCTAAGCAGCCTCTCTTTTCTAGTCTGTTTTGGCATTCTAAAAAGTAAGAAAAATATGTAAGTATAACTAATTCATTACTCTTATACGAATAATAATAGGTCAAATATATTGCTAAGTATCTACATAAAACTTAGGTATCGACATAACAGCCGGTCGACCTTAGAGTAGTGCAGAAAAATAACCTGGCATGTGCAATTTAATAAATATAACAAACAGAAGAGAAACAAATAAAATAGTAACATATACTTAGATATATACATAACACATTTTTTTTTTATATTTGATTGGGCGACGTTTGACCACTATCTCACCTGATGGTAAGCGATGATGCGGTCTACGATGGAGCACGTCGTCCCATAAGCAACCAATTCACTCGGGCCTTGAAGACTCCCAGGTTATACCCTTCAGGAAATACAGACTCTGGCAAAGAATTCCACTCTTTAGCAGAACGCACAAGGAAGCTTGAAGCGAAGCGCTTCGTTCGTGTGGGCGGAACATCTACCATGAATCGGTGACGCTTCGCGGATTGTCTTGTGGTACGATGATGGAAAGGACTAGGGGGAATCAAGTTGTGCAATTCCTTCGCACACTCCCCGAAATGTATCCGGTAGAAAACCGAAAGGCTTGCAAACTTACGCCTGTGTTCGAGGTTTTGAAGCCGAGCCTTCACAAGCGCATCATCGTCAATGAGCCTCTTGGCACGCCTCTCAATGTGCTCTAACGCGTCCAGCTGATATTTTGCCGAGCCGTCCCAAAGATGAGAGCAGTACTCCATACAGGACCGAACCTGTGCTTGGTATAGGCTCAACAATTGTTTCGGCGTGAAGTACCGTCTCACCCTCCATAGGACACCCAACTTCCTACCAGCCAGTTGCGCTTTTGACTCTATATAGGGGCCAAAGTTGAGTGTGGGCGTCAGAGTTACACCAAGAAGCTCAAGACGATCGGTTATCGGTACGGATACATTCCGGAAAGTAGGAGTCAGCGGAAATTGACTCCGTTTGGCGGAGAATAGACACGCCTGGGTTTTGCTAGCATTGAACCTAACCAAGTTGGCGTCACCCCAGTCGGACACCGCCTTCAAGGTCGAGTTCAAACGTTCGACCATGGATTCTCTTAAAGACTGGATCTGTGTTCCGCTAATCCGCGCACCGGACATATACCTTTCAACAACTGTGCTGTCATCTGCATACCCAAACATACCGGGCTTAAGCAGGTCGTTTATGTGCAGCAAAAAGAGCGTCGCTGAAAGTACTGACCCCTGAGGGACGCCGGCATTAATACCGAATTGTTCAGACGAGCAACCATCGATGACTACTCGTATTGACCGATCCCTCAGAAAGTCTGCTATCCATCTGCACAGACCAGTAGGAAGTCCATATGCAGGAAGCCTGCCGATTAGACTGTCGTGCCATACCCTGTCAAAGGCCTTCATATAATCAATCTGTAGTGAAAAACTGTATTTAAATGCAAAAATAATATATAAACAGTACATACTTAAAATTTGGTGGCTTACTTTCAATTTTGATGGCGAAAATTGCCACCAAAGCCACCAAAATTGAGCCACCAAAATTGAAACCAGGCATAAAAAAAATCTTAAAAAATACAGTTATTAAGATACAATAGAATAAATATCACTAATAAGTAAGTTACCCAAATGACTACCTACAATACGTGGCTTACTATTAAAACACTTAAGAATCAACAGCAAATCAATCCACCAAAATTGAAAAATTCTTGTCCCCTGTTCGACCCAAGATGATAATTACGTTTTTGGCGAGAAATCACAGCACTATGCACACACCTGTTACTTGCCACTACCCGCGCAAGATTGACAAATACAGAATATAAAACGCGATTGATCGCACACACACGAATCTTCATGCTAAATGTAACTTGAAAAAGTGCTACCAAAATTATGATTTTTGCAAGGACAAACTTAAATCGAGTATCCTGTGCTTTTAAAATCAATGTTATAATATGGTTTAGTTGGTTTTAGATAGTGGGTTTTATGCATATACTAATGTAATGATTTGTTTTTTACTTCACTTTAAATTGTTTCTTTGGTAAATACATTTATATCAAAAAATGGAGCTAGGACAAGCCACCAAACTTGAATTTTAAAGTTATTTATTTTTCCACAGGTTCCATAGGTAAGCCTATTTAAAAAAAAATGTGGCCCTAATTAGATTAAGTTAAGTAGTTCACTATAAAAAAATATAAGAAGCATGCCATGGTTTTACACCATGATTCTCAACGTGGACACGTAAAATTAGCGCCTGGGATATTCACCCATCTACTTATGTTTACATTTGGGTACATAAATAGGAACCTATAAAAACTGTAACAACAGTATGGATTTCATTTAATAATCGATTAATCAAGTCTTGTAATTTAGTTGTAATTACAAGAATAACATTTTAATTTAGTTGTAATTACACGGGTAACATATTAATCTAACATTACAAACATCCTGATGAGTTTACAACAGACGTTTGATGTAAATACTTTGATTTATGAACGGTTACACCGAGTTTAATTATCACTTGATTGATTTAAATCGATACACGTGTGATGCAAGTCATTAAAGCTTTAATTATGTGTACCATTGCAAGTATTACACACACACACATACACTCGTAACTAACATCGGAGGTGTAGCAATGGCAATCTAAATCATCCTACTTAATTTGCTTTGCTTTATTGCACACGTTTTTGATTTATTTATCTTCAGATTAATCTAGTATGCCATGGTTAGTTATATATTACGAAGTAGGTACAAGAATGTGATATTTTATAAAATTCTCGGAAAAATTTTGATGCCGTAGCAAAGTTTCCTTTTTTTCGTTATCCATTCGAAACAAGATATTTATCAGTAATTGTGCTTTTTCGGCGACAATAAATAGACGCCGCAGTGTGAATTGTAGTAGTATAATAACGATACAAATATTCCAGTGTATTAGCAGGCTCATAATGAGCCTATGCCCTGCACCCACGCAGCGAGCCGCGCCGTGGACGATGCCCGTTCGGGTATGGTAATTGAATTGCTCGATACTCTGCATTCCGCGACGGTCCGCCACCCGCCACCCATGTCAGCAGATAACTCGACTCTGAGCTTTCATGTGAGGTTTAAAGAAGGGAACGCGAATAATATTATTTTGCAATTATAATTTTGTATCGATTTCATTCTCAGTTCATAAAGTAACAATAAAAACCGGTGTAAGGTTTTGGTTTCAGAACTCTCTTAGTAGGTCGCTTACAATCGGCCGATTTGAAAGTCATTAAAATAAGCCTAAATTCAGTAGTGGATGTTCTGTGGCTATGACATGATATTATTCGACGTTACCTGCAGGCGAGCTTGCGGTGCGCGCGGCGAGTACCGCTGATCATGGACAGCGTGCTCATCACCGCGGACATGGCGCCCAGCTGTTGTGCTCATGTGATCTGGGAACAAGATCATATAATCTTTTAAACAAATTTGACACGAGTCGATCGGCTTACAACCACAAAGTAAAACTCTACAGGTTTTTCTACATACCCATATGGAAAAAACGATAAAAATGTTCATCCATATTAATCACCAGGAACAAGTAGTCTAAATTCACACAAACTGCGCACAGATCTACATATTATGTACATGTGTAATATATGTGTTGGCGGCGTGTGTCCATAAAGGAATGTAAATGTGTGTGACGGGTAGGCCGGCTGTGTCGGCGGTGTCTTGTGATTGGTGACAAATTGTAAACTGATGTAGCGCGTAACCAGACGCCGCAAAAACTGCGCGTGCGCCGACAACACAACATACACTTGAATGGACCTGAGGCGAAGATAAGGTGCTAGTGCTGTCCATAGAGTATTGTAACGAGCTCTAGGTTTAGCTCATATCATGTATTTAGTGTATATTATTGTCAATAATCTCAATCCGATATCTAATTTCTAAAGTTGATGTTTTTTCTAGACAGTTTCGTTATACTAAAGTTCGAACTAATTGCCAAGCCTGAATTTCTCTTATGTTACTACCTACTAACAACTACGACCAGTCGTAAGAAAATCAATAAGTGACATTCATTTTCAATTATTATTTTACAACATAATTACGTTTAATTGCTATAATTAAAATGAAGTTTTGATAAAGTAATTCCGCAACAAAGCTTATAAATAATTCTTCAATAGTACTGCGATCATGAACAATTAGTTCTGCTCATGCCGTAGTATTTGTTGGCGTGAAGTGCGTCTAATGTTCAATTATATTATTTAACAATGTAACTTGCTTGCAAAATATCACTACTTCGTTGTAATCGTTTGTTGCGGATGATACGGAATTACCTTAATTGGAGATATTTGCGAACGTTTTGTTATTGATTCTACATAGATGATGAAATTAAAGGTGATGTTTGTGCAACTTTTAATGCTAATCATAAAATGAAACATAAATTTAAATGCCTTTTGGTCGCAATTGCCACAATACAATGTAAACTAAAGATGTTACCTACAAAGTTTCTTACTTGTGGAGAAAGAATAATAAGATGGAGACATAAGGGACCACTGACTGAAATAGCCTTAATATAATAGTTTAGCCTTTTAAATATTTTGATAGGTCCCTACTAAACAAACATACACAAGAAATAAAAAAATTGCCAAATCAATCAATATCTATGTATTTCAAGAGTTCAAGATCACGAACTACAAAAGCTGTTTCTTAGTACGTAGTTAAGCTGTTATTCTAGGAAAATAATGAAAATTGTTGGTAAAGCATAGGTATCGCCGCGGGATGGTGTAGTATTGCAGACTGCAGCCATCAGTAATTACGTTCGGTTCAGTTCTCCGTAAGAAGTTTCCGCGCAGTTCAATTGGACGTGCATTTATTATAAACACAGCGTTTTATGACTTAATCAACCATCAACCAGTACTGGACGTACTGCCGACACTAGGGTATTACAGATCTGTCTTCGGAATATTAAGTAGATATTCGTGAGTATTAAGTTATTATGGCTTTATATAATAGGCAGGTATATACATATTTTTGGATAATATCGAAATGGGCGTGTTCAAAGCGGTTGTTTCATCACTCTTGCAAATTATGTGACCATTAAATGACATCTGATATTGAACGTCGTAGCTGATAAATGAGAAAGAAATATACCAAACAAAATAGAATCCTTATCAAAATTGAACAACGAAATACATCATGAGTGATTATTTCTTTAATTACAATTACAAAAATATATGAAACTGCCTTCTTCTCTCAGCAGCATGCTGTGTTCACAGCCCTGACACGTCTTCCTCACAGCACCGCCTCCAATTGAAGGATATCGTAATGAACGGTTGCTAAAATTGATTTTTAGATTGGCAAGCTTAATAGACGTCGCACCGTAATGTGCAGCCCAGTTGTCAGATGATGATAGATGATAATATTCATTATAAGCAACGCTCGATAACACTAAGTGTTAGATGTCAAGCAATATATGACTTTACAAGTATTATTGCCTAGAAACAAAGTTTAATATTTATTCATTAATAGTTTTGAACTTATGTGATAGTACTTGAGTGCGCGTACTCAAGTACTAAAATAGCTAAGCTAATAAAACTTGTAAACATTTTCTTTTAAACAGTACCCAAGTTGGCTCTACTGTTTAAAATAGCAATATTATAATCCACTTCTATATCTCCATATAATTTGTCATACAATATGATGTCATGCTTGTAAAATTTCCAGATATATGTATAACGATATACAAAAGGTTTTTATCTCCTTGCCCCTGAGGGTTGGTAATGACGGCGTGTGCCGGTAATGACGGCAGTCGTATCGCGTGCGCCTGCGCAATGCAGCGCCGTGACTTACTCGCCATTACGCCGGTATCCCGCTACGGATAATGGCAGGTCTCTGGCACATGCACTTGTGCGTACCACATAGGTGCCAGGGAACTGTCAGTAAACTGAATACTATGTACTGGGGGTAATTTAAAAAAAAGGCAATGAAAATGTAAAACTAATTAGAACCTGCGTAATTACGAATCTTCAGTTACAAGCTATCTACTTTGTATATCTGGATAGTATTTCATGATTAGAAATACTATTATGTTATAATAAATGTAAAGTAATCGTCTTTTCGAAAGATAGTAGCTTGACTTTTACTCAATGTTATTTGTTATTTTCTCAAACACGGCCTCTTAGCACATCATTATCTATGTTCGCCTCATAATCTGTCGAAACTCTGGTTTTTACAAGTTTTCACATTCGGAGCGCGGACTGTACATTGCTTGGGAAAAGCATTAACCTTGTTTCTCGTTGGTTAGTAGTCGAGTCGAGTGACGAGTTACTAGTTGACGAGTCACAGTACTCAGAGTACGCGGGAATCATAACTGCGACGTCGATGTTACAGTAATATAAATGTGTTGGAAATGTTACGGTGTGACTACGTTATTGTTATTGTCAGGTGTGTGATGTCATAGGTGCGAATGCTAACTGTTTGTTATCTATTGCTGACAACGTCAAGTGTCGCTGCAGTTTGTATTATTGTGGTTGTTTCACGATCTAAAACACATTGATGAGAACCTCATTTGTTTTATGGTTTAAACAGGAGCCGATATTGACTTGCAACTTTGTTATGACTCTCTTATATCTGTACAATGTTTTTAAGATTTCTTGTAGCTTATTGTCAGTTACGTAAACACGCAGTGTCTGATTACTTAAATGACCTTGGAGCAAATGAAGGTCACATTAATCTCCGTGGAGTATCTCCGCAAAATCTTATAAATGTAGTAAGTTGTGTAAACGCGACAGTTAATAAGGTAGTTAACATTCTAAAGGCTTGCAGCGTAACTGTCACATGATATAACTTCACACACCTGACACCTGACACTCAGGCCACGGCTAGCTTTGCATTTATTTCAGATTTTTGCTAACAATCTCTATTTTACGTCAGATAGATTGAATATCTGAACATGCAGTTATGACGACACCAAAAATTGTTATTCGTTAAATAAGTTTTTTCCTTTATATTTGACAGAGGGTAGAACAATTAACAAATCAAAGCTACTCTTAAATGTGAGTTTATTATCAGCTAAAAATTTAATAATCAAAATGTTTTCATGTATTGACCTTATTGAGCACATATAAATACAGAAAGAAATTAAATAGTTTTGATTAGGTACTTTCATTAACTTATATTATACTTATTTAACACAAAATCAAACGATAAATAGTTAAGTATGAGTATAAAACAAAATGTTTATAGGCATAAACAGATTATTATATTTTTCAATATATCGATGTCTCGACGGATGATGATGTCTGCCGGTCGCTAGGGGTGTAATAGTGAAAACGCAAGTAATGGCGTCATGTGCGGACAGACGGCAGACGACGGCGGATTGATGGCGCGCAGGGCCGCCACCGCCGCGTAATTATACGTCAGCCAGCGTCACGGTCAGGGCTGTCGCCAACACCGTGCAGTTTTTGCAACATGAGCAAAAACTGTTTATCAGATGAGATGAAATAAGCGTTGGTTGTAGTTATTCCTTTTAACGTTTCGTTGGCTCATTCATTTATTTATGTATTTTAAGAATCAATTAAATAAAGTGTCTATATAATATGAATGTGCCTTCGATACAGTGTGTACGTACATTACTCAATAAATATCTATTCAAATTAAGTAATTGCTTAATGTTAGAAATTCTGAAACATTCAACAATCGTAAGTGACATGGTGTAAGTTTACATTACTATCTGATATACTTCCTATTTATTTTCTGTGACTCATACAGATATTACGTTTTTGTTTATATCGCAGCCCTAACAGCCAGATGACGTTGTAAGTTCTGTCTTTGTAAAGTTATAATAATAGGAACCACTTAATGGGGCTCCATGTCCACGGCTATTCAGCTCTGATAAGATATGTGCACAGCTATACCAAGCCTATGATTTACATCAGATAATACTACAGAGTTATACACTTTACAAAAGATGTAACTTCTGATAGGACTACGTCCTCAGTTGATGGCCGAATACAATTATACTGTGTTAAAAAAATTGCAATATTTTGTTCCATTTTTGTATAATTTGTGTATAGTTAGGTAAATGATGATTAATTAATAGCTATGTGAGGTGTGTATTGTGTAATATTGAAACTTATGAAATAATGTAATAAACTGATTAAATAACAAATTCGATTTAAAATGTTTCAATAAATCAATTTGTTTCATAACGAATTAAAAAGACAGTTATAAAGTAACATAACAGCACTTAGTATAAAAGTATAATAGAAACTATAAATCACAATATTTCCTCTATTTGTAAAAAACAAGAACATTGAATAATGACACACCTGTGCGTGGTGTAAATTGTTGGGAACAGTTGGTGATCGCTTTTTGTTTTTTTAAAAATTTGCTCAGCAATCCAGTAAATAAAAGACAGACAGTG